GTGTGTGTGTGTGTGTGTGTGTGTGTGTGTGTGTGTGTGTGTGTGTGTGTGTGTGTGTGTGTGTGAGTGAAGGAAATGGTGACTAGAGAGGGGAATACCAGGACAGAGAGTGGGAGAAGGTTGGGACTATACAGAGGAATCAGGATGGAGTGGGGGAAGACTCTAGGTGGAGCAAGTGAGACTAGAAAGAGGAACCAGTAGACAATAGAGAAGACTGGGACTAAAAAAGGAAACTAGAGAGGAATGGGGGAGAAGATGGGGCCTGGTGATAAGAATATGATCTTGGGGGGAAAAGAGGTGTCAGGAAAGGAGAGTGCAGGAATTAGGTAGAAAGTGGAGACTAGAATGATGAATAAAGGGAAAGAGTAGAACCTGTAGATTAGGTTCTAAGATTTTGGAGCAGAATTCAATAGCATGGGGTTAATTTATTTCTGTGCCATAGAATCACAGACTGCATTGGGCCCTGATTATAATGGAAATTGCATTTCAGTGTTACTGTTCCCATTACAATAAAGTTAAAACTGGGGTAGCTGAACAAATATAAACATTTTGAGCAGTCATGACCTGCAGATTCCTGCTATTCACGTTTGTGTCAAGGGCCTTAAATCTACAGTGGGCTCTGCTAAATTGTAATCACTTACCTAACATACAGTATGATAATGAAAATGTTTAAAAATCGACTTCCTTTATTATCAATTACATACGAAACAAATTTAGAAGTTGTAGCTAATGTCAAAAGATTTTTGTTGTCTAAAATAGCATTGTTTCTACAGAATTTTCTTTTTCCCCCCAAGAGAATCTTTTTCTTAACTTAAGATTTTTACTTTTCTCTCCTGTATCACCTTTCCTTTACAGTAAGAGATTTATGCTTTACAAAATGCATGCGGGATTGAAAGCGTGTACAGTATAATAAATTCTTCTGTAACATAGTTGCTGAATGTTTTTCCTACCTACAGCACAGAATAACAGACAAAATACTTCTCATCAAATGCCTGACTGTGTTGGGATTTGTTATCCTGATGTTCTTTCTCAATTCATTTGTTCCAGGCATTCATCTAGATCTTGGTGAGTCTGATTTCTCTGCTTTATCATACTGATAGACTTAGTAACAAAAATATGACATTTGAGCTTGGATCTGTTCACAAGGTCCTTTTCTTCTATACTATACATATCTCTGCCACACAGTCCTATGACACTGATCAGACCAGCAAAAAGAACAGGAGTACCTTAGAGACTAACAAATTTATTAGTACCTGCATACCGAAGAAGTGGGCTGTAGTCCATGAAAGCTTATGCTCGAATAAATTGTTAGTCTCTAAGGTGCCACAAGTACTCCTGTTCTTTTTGCGGATACAGATTAACACGGCTGCTACTCTGAAAACTGATCAGACCAGAAGTTTCCCAGATTAGGTTTTCAAAACCCGGGCATGTCCCAATTAAATCAGTAGTGACAGGTATGCTGGTGACTTCCACTCTCTGACCCTCCTTCCATTTACCAGAGAGGAGAGCCATATCAAAGGCTCAAAGGTAGGGTTCCCTTGGTGCCTGTGTACATGCTTCTCAACCTGCCAAGAGCTGAGGTACTATGTCTGACAAAAACCAAACATGAGGGGCAGAAAAAAATCATTCCTGCAGGAAAATTAAAATGTTCTAGGAGCCACTCCTTCAGTATAAATAACTCTTTGTATAACTTCAGTTTTCTGATTCTTTATTATCAATGTCAATGATTTTCATTGAGGAGACATCAAATTTGTATGGAATGTGGGGACTAAAATTAGCAATGTCCCTTGAAATAAGAGGTACCACTGAGAGGTACCTATGTATTCAACAGTTTACAATTGAGCAAAAGCTAAATGGAATTTCGTGGTTCAAAGAAAAGGTATTTTTCTGGTCCAGTTTTCAAAGGCCTGCTGCAAACAATGGAGGTATGAGAGCTTCTCATAGACAAGGTCACAAGAATCCTTTGTACTGGAAAGTGTTAGGCAACCTACGTATAGAGTTTGCTACCAGCTCCCCTTATAATTACCCACCGCCAGCAAACCAGATAACTCAGATTAAATCCCCCTCCCTCTCCATTATTTCCCCCTCTTAAATTTTTCTATTCCAAAGCTCCCCATTTTTATCTGCCTGGGTGGCAAGATAAGGTTTACAGCATGACTTGAAGATTTTCAGTTTTGGTCTATTTCAGACTAAGGCTATGTTTCATTGTTAAAACTTTTGTTGCTCAGGAGTGTGAAAAAACACCCCTGAACGAAAAAAGTGTAAATGACGAAAAGCACCGGTGTGGACAGCGCTTTGTTGTCAGGAGATGCTCTCCCAGTGATGAAGCTATTGCCCCTCGTTAGGGTGGTTTTATTTTGTTGCCTGGAGAGCTCTGTTCCTGGGTCAAAGAGCGGCTCCGCCGCGTACGTTACAACAGTGCAGCTGTAGCAGACCAGCTGTGCCATTGTAAGGTGCAGAGTGTAGACATAGACTAAAGCAATGGAGGCTGTAGGAGAGTGAGTTCTGAAGTTGTGAGGCCTTCACAAAGAACACTTGCTCAGAAGCCCTTTCTCATGTATATCTGTGGAGCTTTAGCTCAAGCACCTCTGCTGACTTCACCTGTGGAAGTATGGCGCACAGAGAGAAGTAAAGTCAACATTTTAAACTTCACCTGGAAACCAATAGGCAGGCGGTGTGGCATATACTCCTTTCAAGATACTCTTACAAAGCCATAGTTAAGGTATAGCCCCATGCAGAGTACCTGACAGTAGTCTTAGTGAGGCACTCAGGGTGGGCAGCTGAATGAAGAGAACATGAAGTGAAGTCAGACCTACCTCTTAAAAAGCACCCTTCTCTATTTCCACAAGCTAAGGAGTCTTTCCAAATCAGAAGCAGGGGTTTGGCAGTTTCCACGTTGCTTCTCTGTTCCAGTTTCTGCTGGCAACTCTCAGATACTCTAACCACCTCTTCTCCAGAGCCTCATAAGGTCAGTCAGAGACAGAGGCAGGGAAAGGGACAGCCTTTACATCTCAGAGCCTCTCTTTGATTTTTCAGCACCTGTGCTGCAGAGTGAGTGGTCTCAGCAGTCCTGTGGAGCTGGAACTGTTGTACTTCCTCAAAGGGACTCATGATACAGCATCATACCCCACTGAGAGGTCACATAAGCTGGGGGAGGAGGTAATTCTGAGTTTGAGGAGACATACCAGTGCTAGCTCCCCACTCAAATGGGCAGGACTTCCCCAGATCCTGCAGCAGGGAGGGGGGCCTCAAACCATCCCAATAGGCAACCCCCCATCCCTGAACTGGATCACATGAGGAGAGATAGGGAGGTGGTTTCCAACCCCTGTAGATGGGCATGGGACCCACCAGACCCTGGCAAACATGCGTAGAAGGCAGTGAGAGGGGCTCAGAAACCAGTGAGAGGAAAGCCCCCCATACGCTAGATCACATGAGGGGGAGGGAGGGCTGCTCAAATCCCCCTAGAGGGGCCAGGGCTCCCCAGATATGGGCACATGGGAGGGAAGAATGTGGGTCTCACTGATGTCTCAGCCTCTATTCTCCCCCACTCTCCCGAAACTCACTCCCACATCCACCATCCCAGTGTCCCACCCCTCCAGCCCCCTAGCTCCCACAGATTCCTCACTTGAGTTCCTAACCTTTCTCCCCTCCCATACCACCCATCCTGCTTTATCCTCCTCCATAACCTCCTCTCTTTACTTCAGCCCCCAACCCTTCTCCTCCTCTTTCCCCACTCCTCTGCCCCTTAGTGCCCCTTCCAGGAAGCAGTCACATGTCTAATTTTTTTCTGCAAAATATTTTGATTACATTCCCATCAAAACAGAATTCTTCCATTGACTTAGCTACTGCCTCTTGAGGAGGTATGTTACCTGTAGTGATGGGAGAAACCCTCTCATCAGTAATGTCTACATGGAAGCACTGCTACAGCACTGCAGATATGCCTCTGTAGCAGTTTTAGTATAGACATACCCTCAGTTCAAAATGTCTTTTGTCTTAGGTGAGGGCTTGTAATTAACTTGTATTTAGGCCATGTCTACACTACAAAATTATGTTGCCTTACGTCAGCATATAGCCACCGTAGTTATTAGATCACTTGTGTGTGTGCACGCTTGGCTTCTTGTGTCGGCAGTGCACGTCCTCACCAGGAGCATTTGTATTGATTGAATTGTCAATGTGGGGCATTGTGGGATGGCTCCTGAAAGCCAGTAACAGTCGATGGAAGCAATGCAGTGTCTACACTGACACTGCATTGACCTGCCACTAGGGGAGGTGATGTTACTAAATGGGTGTAGAGAGTCACTTATATTGGCAGGAGTCAATTTAAGTGAAGATACTTCTACAGCTAGGTCGACAGAAGGTAGTTTACATCAGCCTAACTGTGTAGTGTGCACCAGGCCTTAGTTATGTTAATTGAAGGGTAAGTGTGATGCTCTGTACCTCGGGGGAACACCCAGCACCCCCATGTTCATCCTTGTAAAATGATTGTGTGGTATCCAATGTAAAGTTTGTCATGTTGGGTGTCTTCGGAAGGCTCATGATGCACTGAGCATTGTTGTTATGTGAGTAATTGTTGTCACAGTAATGTTATAGGTTATAATTTCACGTATATAGTTATGAGGTTGAAAATGTATCCTCATGGCTTAAAATAAGCCCAGGCAAAAACTCTCCAAGAGCAGAGAGGCAGTTCACACCTCGTCAGGGTATGCATGGGACAAACAAAGCCCAGCCTCACGGGAACAAATGATGCTGGCTTGGGCAGCAACAAAAGGATCTGTTGGAATCTCGAGTGAGTCACCCTCCTTCCTTTGGTCAGTTTGGGACTGCAATGAGGTAATACTCACCTGACTCTGAAGGGTGGGGGCAAAGGCAAGAGGGAAGAAAGAACATGATAAAAGGGAGAGACGTTTGCCATGCTCTTTCTCTCTCTTCCACCTACATCTACAGACACCACACCAAGCGACTGAAGCGCTGATCAAAGGGGAGAGCCTGGCTGAAGAGCAGCCAGCCAGCCTGTGGTGTGAAGCATCTAAGTTTGTAAGGGCACCGAAAGTATTAAGATCAGCTTAGAATGCGTTTTGCTTTTATTTCATTTGACCAAATCTGACTTATGCTTTGACTTATAATCACTTAAAATTTATCTTTGTAGTTAATAAATCTGTTTGTTCTACCTGAAGCAGTGTGTTTAGTTTGAAACGTGTCAGAGACTCCCCTTGGGACAACAAGCCTGGTACATATCAATTTCTTTGTTAAATTGACGAACTCATATAAGTGGGCATAACTGGACACTGCAAGATGGAGGTTCCTAGGGTTGTGTCTGGGACCAGAGATATTGGCTAGCGTCATTTGGTTGCACAATCCAAGGAGCAGCTTGCATGCCAGAGGCTGTGTGTGAACAGCACAGGGGTGGGGGTTCTCACAGCAGAGCAGGGTAAGGCTGGCTCCCAGAGTCAAGGATTGGAGTGACCTAGCAGATCACTGGGCCAGATAACACCAGAGGGGAATGTCATAGTAAGTTCACAGCCAACAATCTCAATGAGGTCTGTCATTCATTCACTTATTAGTACCTCTCTGTTTAACAGAACAAGGCAGCAGAAGGAAAGCAGTTTTTTTCGGGGGGAGGCATGTAACTTGGACCCCAAATGACCCTAAATTTGGATCACTAACACTATCCATGTCCCCATGTGGTGCACCAAATTTCAAAGTGATCTGAGTAACTATTTGGATTTTGGAACACTTACAGGTGCTGAGCTTTAAAGCATATAAGATGGCAGGAATGGAAACCCTCTAGCTGTTCTTTTGTATTGGCGCATGGACACTATAAAAATGTACATTTTTGTATCAGGGGGTAGCCGTGTTAGTCTGTATCTACAAAAACAACAAGGAGTCTGGTGGCACCCAGACTCCTTTTACATTTTTGTAAGTACCAGTCTCAGTTTGGGTCCTGTGAGGATTTAGTGGTGCCTTGCACTCCCTTTGTTAAAACTGAGACTATTTTTTTCAGGGCTTACAGCTTCGCAGTCCCTATCTCAAGTGACTCTTCTGAGGCGCACCAAATTTCCAAGGAA